TTTACTAGGGTAAAAAAACCCACACACGAGTTAAATTCTTGGAAGAAAACCCAATTATCAACAACAGATCAGAACAGGATAACATTCTGGACAGGGTTTACAGTTTACAGAGAGGATTAGCTGTTCTGAGGATCAAATATAGAACAGAAATTGGATTTGTAGGCTGTGTTTTTACCCATCCTATCTGAAAGCAAAATATAATGTGATTAGTTGTAAGCTGGTAGGTTGCAGAGTACGTGCACTATGGTCCCTTCATAATATCTCTATCACTATCCTTAATATAAAACTGCTCCTCTGAGTAGGAAAGCCAGACAGAGTAGCAGGGCTCTTCATCCCTGCTCTTTCTGAGAGGGCTTTTAAAATCCTTGTCCTTGACCGGTGGTGGATACCATGCATTATGAGACAATGGCCCCTTATTTCAGAGGAAGAGGTTTCAACAAATGCAGAACTGTCTCCAGGAAAGAAACTAGTCCCACAGAAGTGAGTTCTGGGCCAGGAACCAGGCATCCCCATCGAGTCACTCTGTCCTACTTCTCAGTCACTGCATGCTTCATCAAATTATTATTTCCACTCCAAAAAGCCTCAGTTATTATTCATCCTGCTTTTCCCCACTTTGCTTCACATTACTTTCCAAGGCAGGGAGACAGCGTTCCCCACTTGAATCAGATGGCTACTTCTTGGTCTTGATGGAGAATTATTGAAATCATCAAGCTGAGCATTCACGGAAAACTAGTTTTCCTGTCATTTTTTTCTACACATGGTAGAAGTTTTGCTAATGGTAAGAAGGACAGAAATAAGAAATAGTGTTAAGTCTCAAACGGGGGAAATGAATTGTTTGCAGATGCTGCATAATTTTTGAGGGATACATTCTTTTTCCTCCTGGCACAAATCCAAAGGAGATGCAATTAACAGGGTTTATATGTGGCTGATTTACTTTGTGGCATTTAGTCATCAATCTACAAGCTGAAGCAGAGGCCTCTGTTTCCCTTTCCCATGCGGTCTATCGCCTCTGTGACTCTGCTTACATGATTTTGGCTCTGCCTTCCCTTTCAGAAATGACACTGGCAAAGGAGTGCCTTGTGTTGTCCGGTCTTGCAGGAGACTCATACCACCAGGCAATATTGCAGTACCTGTGTCCACTCTTTCTCATAGAAGGTGCATCAGGAGCTACATCCCTGGCTTTTTTGGGCTGTGCTGACCTGTGTGACTATGGACTTTTTTGACATGTGTTGCAGGGAAAACTGTGTCTTTTACCTGCATGATCTTAATCCACTACCAAAGCTGTAGAAACTGCTGTGGTCTCCTGCCTTTGGTGTCTGTTATGCTCCATAGCAAGGTCTCAGTCCCGCCCTAAGCAAGCAATCATTTCTTCCATCGCTGGGCATTAAAGCAGGGAGTGAGGTGCTGTGAGACATGTCGAAGCAGTGGCTTGCCACCCAGGGATTGGAACAAGCAAGACAACGACGGTGGGTCAGAGACGGCTGAGAGAGGTTTGAAGGGAGATGAAGTCCCTCGCTGCTAACTGCAGATCTAGATTAGATCCACAAACAATGCCAGTAAAGTATCATCATGGAGACCTGGGCTGAAGAGCGATAGCTTCAAGACATCTGCCCAAGTAAGGACATCTTCACAGGACAGGGTAAGATGCTGGCTTCTCCACCCAATGCCAACAGGGCTGCCTATCCTCAAAGCTGCAGGTCAAGCATCTTCCCTGGTCATGGGAGAAACCATGTGTCCCATCTGGCTGAGGTATGGCTGCAAGCCCGATCTCACTGTATTGCCTTCATGTTGCTAATTTCCCTGCAATGATAATGGGCTTTAGGAGAACAGGATTCCTATACTGTGCTGGAGCCATCAATAGTAACGCAGTACAGTCCTCCTGTCTCTCCAAAATACATTCCAACTGTATTCCATGAGCACAACTGACATCAAATTTATTGGGAACATAAACCTGCAGGCAGTAACAGGAACAACTGCATATTGCTTGGAAATGTCTGAGGCTGGCTGCTTTGGTTTAGAAGGTAGTTGGTCAGAAAACCTCAGCAGTTTTCAGTAGAAGAAAACTTTACTGGTGTATGCTCTTTGATTAAAAAAAGCCAAGCAGCTGAGGACAACCATCCTGAGATGAATATAAAAGTGCGGTGGGTGATTCACAAACCCATTTTTAGCAAATTTCAGTAAAAAAGCCAAGTATGGAAAGCTATAAAGCATGTATGGAGATTGCTCATAATCTAGAAAATAGTATCTACAGTCTTTGTTTTGCTTTCCACTCTCACTATTACACAGTGTAATAGAAACATTTAAATTCATTCTCAATGTACTGCTAGCCCCTGCTTCTTTCTGTGAGTCAGGCCAGCTTTCTTACCTTTGATGTTTTTTAATTTTAATTTTTTTATCTTTTCCTCTCTTATCTGTCCCGGTCAATAATAATTGATTTCCAGAAATAGCACTCCCGGCACATCACAAGCCTTTACCCTCTGTTCAGCTGCAATTAACATCATCTCCTCAGTTACTGCATGTACCAGTTGTTGTGCCCTCCAATACTCTGTCAGCCGATTTTAGCAGCTATCACTTTGGTAATACGCTGTTTTCTGCTAGCAGCAGGGTTTCAGCCCTATCTGAACTCGACTGGCTATGTTTTATTGCTTTGATTGCTGCTGTATTTTAATAACCAAGAGTAAATCACTGGGCAAAGCAGGCTTTTAAAACACACCTGGGCATTAATCACACCCATTTCCCCCATAGCAGTTAATAACCACCTCAGCAATCAAGTGCTTTGATGTTTTATAAAGTAAAGATATTGCGTGGCGTAATCTCATCCGGGTCGGAAAACGAGGAAGGTGCGTGTGCACGCATGCATCAGTCACAGCCACCTCTTGAGGTGACCAATGTCACTCTCTTCTCTACCACAAACCCCCTGATGCTTCTGTCAAGGGTAAGAGGGCTTCCCACCACCGGTGAAACCTGTGGTCTGAAGCCGTGCTTCAGCACCAGCTTCAGTGTCGGTGCATCGCAGCCCAGGCACAGCAGGACTCAGGCTGGCCAGATCTCACCGCTTTGTCCTGGCTCTCCCAACCCTCGCGGCTCACCATGCCCGGAGCTGTGAGCAGGCAGCAGCAGCTCCTCTCTGTCAGTGTCCCACAGCCTTTCCAATGGCTTCGCCCTTGCCCACCGCAGAGGTCTGGGTCAGCGCCACAGACATCTCTGAGTATCTGAAAGGCACCTCGGAAAACGCGCATGGGAACCGTATTATTGCAAAGCTAGTACGATTTTGGAATTAAAATGCTCAAAGGCCAAGGCTGCTAGCGTGAGGCTGCAGGCTTAGTTAAATCCTGGCACCGAC